AAATGGATTAATGCTTTGAGGAGGTTAGCACCTTATGTTCTAATTACTTCTCTATGTCCCATCGAGGGTTTAAGCCCTCGATGTATGAGTCTTTGGGAGATATTGTATGTTTAAACCATAACACAGCCACACAGGGCTACGAATATGGGGGCCCAACGAGATATGGTTAGAGGTACTGGGTTATACAAACACACACTGGTGTTGGAACAGTATTCACTAATAACTGGGCTTCACTGATGCTGCAGGCTCATTCATCAGAAACTCAGAAGTAAGTATGAAAGGAACAATTCCAAATCCTTACATAGCAACACCTCAAAATGTGCTTCCACCACCTGGCATGATTTTTTTTACTTCTATTGTACACATGTGGAGAAGAAGTACAAATTGCAACAGCTCTCTAGATATGGAAGACAAGAGTCCTCTTTCATTAGAGGAGCCTGACAAAGGTTGGGTGGCCACTTGAGTGACATGCTCTGTTAGGGAGGACTTGGAATGGATGATGTCAAAATTTCAGATCCTATTGTAGGTCTTAGGACATGATGCTTTATGATGCTTTAAAATTTACTCCATGAAAGTGGTTCTATGGTAGCATTTCTTTCCTAGCATTAGAAAAATTACAGTGTGAATTTTTTAAAAAATGCATTATTGTGGAAAACTGCCAGCAAAGATTCCTGGATCTTTGGATCTAAGTAGGTTTGACGAGTCTTTTTTTCCCTTTTTGGTATGAACGAATCTCCGGGATGCTACCTTTCGTTGAGTATGTTAAAATAAAATGTTGAGATTTGTGGATAATTTAATTTAAGAAAATAGTGAAATTTAAGGTTGCCCCTGCCAATGACACACTTAAGTTTCACAGTAGTTCTTAGGGAAAAAGGGATGGAGAACCTTGGAATGGATTACTCATGGGGGTATTTCATGTACAAACAAGTCAGTCTTATGTTGCAGCTGGAAGAAAGATTTAGAACAATTGTTCTAAACAATTGTTCGAACAAGTGCTTCTCAGGCTGGGCCATGGACCACCCTTGTCATTTGATTAAAGAAGTAATTTCTCAGTCCTCAACACAGACCAACTCAATCAGAATCTCTAGGGCTATGTGTTAATCGGCTTCCCATTGCTGAGACAAAATCCCAGACATACACAATTTAAAGGGAGAAGCCTGTATTATTGGCTCACAGTCTTAGAGGTTTCAGTCCACTGTTGGCTGGCTCTGTGGAAGAAACATCACGGTAGAAAGGCATAGCAGAGTAAAGCTGCTAATCTTATGATGACCAGAAACAAAGACAGCAAGGAAGAGCTCGAGAGAAAGAGGTTCAGAGACCATATATAGTCCTCAAGGTTACGTCCCTATGATCTGCTCAAGAGCGCACCCCCTGCCTTCCAAGTGTGCTTAACTAATCTAGGTATCACTGAGGCCAATCAAGTCGACAAGATTACAGTCACAGTTGGGCCAGTTACTTGTTTTCATATGCTCTCCAAGTGATTTAAGTGCTTGCTAAAATTTGAGAAGCACTGATCTAGACCAGCATCTCCTGGGAACATATTAGAAACCATCTGCAGCCCCTTGTCAATGAGCCTTGGCAGGTACTGGTGGAAATGTTCCATGACTCTTTTAAATGTTTAAAGGCCACAGAGATGGAAAAACTGAATATATTAAATAATGAATTCTTGGATAAAGGCATGTGTCTTAGAACTGGGAAAGAATTAAATTCATCTCCTGGTCCTGTTTCCTGTGTCTAAGTAGGTAAATTATACAACCTTAATGTCTCATGGTATTTCTTAGTTTTTTTAACCATTTGGCTTAGGCCAGTGGTTGTTGAATCAGCCACTGTGGAGGTGGGCCCAGCATTCTATGCATTAAAAATCCCTCCATCTAGAAGCACCTGCAAGTTCAAGAATCAATGACTATAGTTCCCATTGATTTTCCCACCTGTATGGCAACAGAGAGCCTTAGGGATTCCTTTCTCAGACTTCTGTACGGGGCCCTGTAGCTGGCTCCCGGCAGCTTCCCATCTTGGCCACCCCTAGTTCCAGTTCCAGGTGGGTGTGATCTAGTTCCAGATCACAGAGTGTGAACTTGGTATTCATAGCATAAATCTAGGAGACCAGAAGCAGAACACTTGCTGAGATGGAAACCTAAGATGCTCCAGTGAGGCCAGGGGTTAGACAGCCTCCCTCTGTCTTTCCTCCCTTTTCAAGGTGGAGTCAAGCTTAACATTTTGCAGAGACCATAGGATTCAGAATCCCCAGGATGGCTATTGATTGCTTTCTTCTCAGATCAGTTTGAGGAGGCCCTGGCTAACAAGTGTATTTTTCCAAAGACATTTGGACCTGCAATGTGAAGAAAACTGTAGAAATGGATAAGACAAATAATGTAAGAAGGCTGAAGACAGAAGAAGCCAGGGGTTGGGGAGTTATTAACCTTCGAAGTTTCATAATGGAGCCTGACAAAGTTGGAGCATGGAGAATAGGAAGAGACAGGGCTCCATGGACAGACTCTCTTGTTATACGGTAGAAAACAGTGTGTTCAGGGGATGTGAGGGCGTTGCTGTTCATTTTGCTCCAGACAGCTTTAGTTTTGATTCTGTGAGAGTCTTGTGAATGCCCTAACCTGCAAGATCTTGGCATTTGCTTTGAGCAGACAAGATGAACAGCTGTGTTTGTGCTTGGAAGCTTGCCAGGACTTTCCTAGTGAAATGTAATGTCACACATCTTGCTTTCTTTAGCTAGAGGAATACATAATTCTTGCAGGGAGAGGAACCCATTCTGCAGAACATTCTTTACTGACAAGTCTGCCCTCGGGCAAGCTTCAGCTCTTGAATGCCCTGGAGGCAGCTTCAGAATCATCATCATCATCATCATCACAGTAATATATATATTTCCCCCCACTTTCATAGGGACTACATCCCATGATCCCTAGAAGATGCCTGAAACAACAGATAGCACCAAGCCCTAAATACAGTTTTTTTTTTTATCTGTACATGCCTTTGATAATGTTTAGTTTCTAAACTAGGCTCCATAAGAGACCAACAATAATAAAGTAGAACAATTAGAGCAGTAAACTGTAATAAGATGTATAAAACTTATGTATTTCTGGAATTTTTTCATTTGATATTTTTGGATTAAGACTGACAGCAGATAAAGGAGGACTACTGTGACCTCCATTTTTCTCTCTCGATTATTCCTAATCAGTGCTTTTTACTGAATTCAGGTTCAAAGTGGTAAGGTGAATATTTTAACTCTCCTCCCTCCCAAATCCCCATTGAAATGATCAAAGAAGCATACATTTAGAGGAAGTTGGCAAGACAGGCAAAGAGGAATTTGGAGGCATTTTTGGTAGACGGAGTAAGGTGGCAAATGAACAAAGAAATTGTGACCTGCTCATGATTTGATATCTGCAAAGGAACAAATAAATGAGTAGATAGAATTTCTAGTAAAGGGCCCTCCTGCCCCAACAGCCAAAACTTCTGCTCAGCTAGTAAGGAACTTACGGGTTTGTGAGCCTGTTACACTTGAGAGATGTGTGAGCTAGTCAGCCTCAGGATCATCCTGTTCATAGGGATAATACCTACTTTATGAGGTGTAATCAGGATTAAATGAAATCGTGTAGATCATGAAACATAGCTGAAAGTTTAGCAGTCATTGTTTAGTGACTACTGTCATGCACGGTGCTAAAAGCTTTACATAAATTATCTCTAAATACAAGAAACTTCTACCATGACCGTTCTGCGCTAATCACTATTTTACAGAAGAGTCAACTTTGAGAAGTATTAAGAAACATGCTCAAGGTTTACAGCTATGAAAGGAGTAAAATAGTATAATTTTAAATGTGCCCCACAGGCATGAGCTGGGTACTTAGTTGACAGCTGATGGGCTTTTGGATGATGAGGGCTCCAATCTCACCAGAGAATTAATCCATGGATGGATTCGTAATTTGACGGGATTATTGGCAGGTGATAGAAGCTTAGAAAGTGGAGTTTGTTGAAGAGAGTACATCATGGGGGCACAACTTTGGGGAATGTATCCAGCTCCTGGTGCCTTCCTCCCCTCATCTGGCTCTTTCTCTCTCTGCTTCCTGGTTGCCATAAGGTGAAAACCTCTTTTGCCACATTCTCCAGCTGCCATGATATTCTGCCCCACCTCAGGCCCATAGTAATGGAGCCAGCTGGTCATGGATTGAAACCTCTTAAACCCTGAGCTAAAATAAATCTTTCTTCCTTTAAGTCGATTTTCTCAGTGATTTTGCTGCTGCAATGGAAAGCTAACACAAACAAGAATATGACATAATCTAAGAACAGCGTCCGGAGATATTCTGCTTTCAAGCCCTAAGCTATATTGTTCCAAGCCCTTGAAATACATTGTAGTCAGTCCTCTATACCTACACGTTTCACATTCTCAGATTCAACTAATCTTTGATCCAAAATATTAAAAATGTTGTCTTGTCATTATTCCCTAAACAATACAACAATGATTTATATAACATTTACATTGTATTAGGTAGTAGAAGTAATCTAGAGATAATTTAAAGTGTATAAGAGGATTGCATAGGTTAGATAGAAATACCATACCATTTTAAAAAAGGAACTTGAGCATCTGCAGATTTTGGTAAATGTGGGAAGTCCTGGTATCAATCCTCCATGAATACCAAGGATGACTGTACGGTAGTCCTTATAATAACTTTTCAGTAACCATTTTAATCGTGAAGATATAATAGAAGTTCAGGAGCTAAACAGTTTGAGTTTATGCAAATATTTGAAAACGAGGATGACTGATTCCAGGTCTCCTGCTCTTTTGTTCTCTACTATTGAATAACTGATAGTCTACACACTCTATGGACTATCGTCCTGTCTCCTTATTTGTATTAGACTGTATTCTCACTGAATACAAGGAAGTGGTGATGAGGAAAATTTCAAAATGTGACTCCAGTACCCTCCAAGTCTTTGAAGAAGTGAATTATTGTGTATGTGTGTGTATCTGAATTGTCTACATTTCTTGCTGGCAGGATTCACAGAAAACATTGGACTTCCCCTGAACCTGCTTGAAAAACATGACCCTTGGCCAGCTTATGTGACATATACCTCTCCCATGGTACAAAGACTCATTGAGAAAAGCAAAATGAAGGAACTGCAAAGCATACGCACTTTTGAGGACAATCAACAGGCACTGAGGCCAAACAAGACTCCCAGCATTAGTCAGCTGAAATGGAGAAAGTCATCTAAGTCCTCTGGGGAAGGGTTGCAGGATGTGCTGTCACATGCCGTGCTGTCAATGTGGGGCCCTTACTCTGTTTCAGCCTTGGGTCCCACTGTTGTCCCAGAACCCAAGCACGCACAAACAGATTCCAGAGAATATCCCACTGCAAACTATAACAAGATCATTTTCTCCCAAAAACCTATGATGAGGATGCTTCCCTACCAGCTCACTACAGTCCAGCAAGGAGAAGCATGCAAATGTCTAAAAAGGAGTCCCTGCAGCCATCCCTGAAGAATGTACTGCAATTAAGCTCCGTTTGCCATAGATTGCACTGTCCTTTAGCTCTGAAATTGCTTTTTTATTTGCTGAGGCTGTGCAGAGAAACCACATCAGAATGTGGCCCACAGGGGCGGAGGTGGGTTCCTCCCTTCCTGTAGTCTGAAGGGATCAGCAGTAAAAGGTGCTAGTTTCTCCCACAGATGCTGAAGACCCACCTGTGGAAGTATTAGTCCAGGTCCAGGCAGGAGGCAGAAATCATACCAGGTATTTTACTAGAGGGAACTGAATAGGAAGACTTATTAACCAGGTAACTGAAAAAGGCAGAAAGAAAATCCAAAGGTAGAAGTGGGGTCAGCCCCCGCAAAAAACAGTACCGTTCCTATGGTGGAGGAAGCAAGGGGAAGTTAGCTGCTTGGAGAAAGGGTATGTGGGCTGAAGCTCAGACTTTCTGAGGTGAGGGAGTGGGGTTGCTGTTCAGCTAGTCCTGGTGGTTGTCTCTGATGCTCTGAAGGATGGTATCCTAATTCCAAGAAGCAGAGGTCTTTTGGCTGGTGTCTCTGAGAGGACACATATAGTTCTGGTTTTGTGAGTATTGGTAAAAACAAAAACTGGACTCAAATGCTTCTGGGAGGAGTTGTCATTGCCTGAGTAAGTACAAAGGGTTACTAGGGAAGGCTGATAGGGACAGGAAGCTGACAGAAGGCAAACAGGATGTAATTCCAAAGCAAACAACCTAAGAGTAGGCCTTTCCTCCACCCTGTAGTTATGCAGGTTTCTGCTAGCTCCCCCTAGGGACAGAGTGTATCAGGGCATAAAGCAGGAATGCTGTTTGCAAACTCTTAGCCCTAGCATCTTCCGAGTATGATAGGATGGATCTTGAAGCCAAGAAATTATTTAGTAATCAGCATATTGTTCTGTGTTCCACATGGCCTCTGAACCTAGTATTGAGGTCTCTTTCCCTGGGAAGTCTTAGAAAAAGGTAGTGGGGTTGTCAGAGGGGCCTCTGTTGAGAAAGGGAAGAAGTCCAATCTTTTCCTCTCCCTTCCCCGTTCTTCTGTCAGGTTTGCCTTGTGGAGCACAGCTGGTTGGGAGAGAGAAGTTCCTGAGTTCCTGGCTGGACCCCAGCTGTTATTTGTCAGATGACTGCTAGAATTGGGCCACCCATGCTCTGAATTGGTCCCAAAGCAAGCATCGACGAACTGCCCTCTGTCTCCCGGTAGACAAGCTGTCTTCAGACACATGAAGATTCTGTCAGGAAGGAAACCAAGCTGGTCTGTTGTGTTGTGTTTAACTGCTGAACACGGCTGACCTTACCTGAGTTTCCTGTTTGTACTGCAAGGCAATTAATATCCATTCAGCTTTCCCCACAGAGATGTACAGGATCTGATGTACTAATAGATGTAAATGTCATTTGAAAAAGTTATATTTCTCCTCCAATACATGTTTTCTAGCCAAGAGCCTTATGTGAACGTTTAGAGTCAGTTATGGGTGCAGCTTTGTAGAGCTCATCTCTGGTTCCTGTGTATTTGTGTTGGGACACCTGCACAAATTAGGAGCTCTGGACTTATTCCAGGGTTCCCAACACTTGGGCGGAATGAGTTCTTACTCCCTCCCCCCGAATAGATGTTTTCCAGTGAATTTTATGACTGTATTTTGTGTCTATGGAATGTTTGTAGACCTGGAATCAGGTGATAAATTCCTCCAGGATTTAAAATATCTTCTTTATCTCTTTACAGTTATTTATCCCTAACATATATTTGGGACAGTAAGGATTATACAGTTCGAGTGTTAGAGTTAGTAGAGTTTGGGGATTATTAGGATTATTTTTTCCAGTCCCTTTAAGGGCAAGCAGTGTGGTAATTTACTCATTTGTACTGTTTTTTATTTCTTTAAAATTTCCAGGCATTTAATAGATTTTACAAAAGTATGTGCTACAAATAAAAAATTTTAAAAATATAGCATTATTTAGGTTAATCTAATTCTTAGCCTATTATAACAATACAGGCATAAACCAAGGGCATCATTGGCACCTTATTATGTTCTGTGAAAATTGCCTGCATTCTGTGGCTACAGTCTAGACACATTGCTCTTAAAGAGAGAAAATGTGTAATTCCTTTTGAAATGGGGAACTCCTAAACCGGGGTTTATGGGTCTGGGTATCATATGGTCCTGGCCAGCCATGACCACATTCACATGAGTACTGAGGAGGATGCTGGGAAAGAATTCTCCTGGGAGATAAACAATTGGGTAAGACCAGCTGGATCCATTAATGAAACCTTGGTCACCGGGCGAGGAGGATGATCCTGAGTGACCCATGTTATCTGACGCTGAGATTTGTCTCCTGAGCCAGACTTTTCTAAGTGCTATGGCAGGGGCAGTGAGTCAGTCTCTCACGGGGTTCTTTCACTAAAATCCTGCAAGACCCAGGGCTTGTTGACCACACAACCCACCATCTCATGTGTCCCACTGCCCTAGTTGAGGACATGAAACAGCCAGGTCTCATAAAGCCCAGTGAATAGTTGGCAGGAACAGCTTTGTTCCTGAGAGTCATAGAGACATCTCTGGTGCTCCCTGAAATAGGCATGGAGCCCTTCCTGGGGCCTCTGCCCTGACCCAAGCAGGTAAGGCATGCATGGAGTGGAATATGGATTATTCTCATGTAACCTCATCTGCCTGTCCAAGATTGAGAGGACTGGAGTATCTCAGGTTACTCTGAACATATTTAGCTTCTTCCATCTCCAAGAGAGAATTGGCTTTCTCTGATATCCACAGCACACAGCCTTTTTTTATTTATGTATTTTGCATATGGCATTTTCTGCTTGGCAGGAGAGCTACTCCAATAAGTTTCCCTGCTATCATAGGTTTATGAAATACCAGAATATGTATTTTGTTAGCCTGTCTGTGTTGCTGTGTAACTAAGGCCCTGTTCTAACACATATCAAGCAGCTGTTTTGAACAGATTCTTTGGCTCTCTGCACGTAATGTGGTATTTACCCATTTGCAAATTCCATGGTCGATGTTTGAACAGTTGATGTTTAACTTCAGCAACTTGACTGAGCCTGTTGGTCATTTTCACTTTGGCGGAGACTGTTAGGACATCAAACATCCACATTCCTCCAACTCCCTGGTGTGGCCCGAGAGCCTGTCTTGATGGAGATTAGGCCGCTCAACAGACAAGAGGCTACTGGAGTCTTCATGGAAGTAATAGCATGAATAAAGGCATTGGTGCAGGTGTGGGTAAGCCAGATGTTTGAGGGCGGCCTGAAACTGGGAATGGGAGGCTGGGGTGGGACTTAAACAGAAGTTATAGACTTCATTAGCAGTAAGTTTGGAGTCTTACTGGAATGAGTTCAAATCCTGCTCTTCGTTTTGTCAGCCCCAAATCCTTATGTAGGAGGAATAAATACCACATAGTTTATAGGCTTAGGGAAGACAAGATGATTACCCTGCGGCAGAGGTTTTGATCCTTGGCCCCTGCTGGTGGTCCTTTGGGGGTAGCTGAGAAGTAACATGAAGCAGGGAGCACAGCACAGGACAGAGTCCAGCTCCCTGAGCTGGGCCTGATAATGCATCCACGGATACAGAGCAGGGAGTAGAAGTTGCAACACTGCAGTCACACTCAGGTGTCAGCAGTGGCTGTAAAGAGACTGTGAACTGCTTCGTAAGCTGTGTCAGTGCAGACGTGCCCTTCTATACCATGCTCTGAGTCATTCCATCCCAGGAATCCCCATATTTCCACACCAAAGGGCTGGAGCCTGGGCATTGTCAGCGCCAGATAAGAAAAGACAGCCTGCGAAACCTGGGGGGAAGGAATTGGGAAAACAGTAAACGGTGACCTGAGATTTACTGTGATCTGATACTGCCTGAGCCTGGACTGAAGCTCAGGGCTGGGTTTCTGCTGGCCAAGTAATCAGGAAAAATTTCCTTTTTCCCCTCTCCTTCTCCCCTATTACATTACCCAAGGCCTCAACCAGCTACTTAGGTACTTGAAAATCACAGGGTGATTTCTTAAACCTGTAGAGCATGGCTGGACTGGCATAAGCACATATGAGGGGTTCCTGGAGATGTGTTGTGCAGAGCCAGCAGGGTATGCAAAAATGTGCCCCACTGCTACCGCTGTTCTTGATCTTGGCTGTGATCTGATTTCTTCACGCGACAAGGCAGAATATAAAGATGAGGAACCTCATCCTGTTGACACACAGAGCCAGGTAACAGCATGAAACAGACTTTGAACTTGGTGTTCAGACCCTATCTCCTCTGTCGCCATATTCTAGGGCCAATAAAAATTCCTACCCTATCGTGATGCTTTCTAGAGAGCGTGAATTTCTGGGGGCCCAGCAAGGGTCAAAGTATGCATTCATTTCCTTTCCAGATTCAATTGTTCAGCCACCTAGAATATTCCATTAATTTTGGTATACAGAAGGAGATGAGAAGCCTTGATATTTCAGGCAAGTTAGAGACCTGACTTCTGGGATCCCTTCTGCAGGTACAACATGCAGGAGGATTTTTGTGGAGAGAGAGTTAGGATGAGAGCAAGTTACAGCTGAAGGGAAGTTGGCCCGAATGTATCCAGCTCCCCTCCCGCGCTTTTGGAGCCTGTCCATGTCCATTTTACTGCCTAGAGACTTAGGGACATACTTCCTGAATTAGGGGAGCCCCTTTAGGATTGAGACTCAGGCCCCTCAACTCCAACTTCAGGCTGCTTCTTCTGTATTCAGACCTTCTCCTCTTCTAGATTTTTATCAGTGACAATCGTGCTGGTGTCTAAGCAGGGCATATTTGTTCTGTGTGTAGCTGCTGGTGCAAGGGTCAGCAGTGAATTAGCCTCAGTAGAGACCCCTCCTCATGTAGCCACTTCGCTGTGTGCCCCTGGACCTGCAGGTGTGGGATAGGGAAGCTAAATGCTGTGAGCCTGGGCAACAAGGCTGGCCACATTCACTGGCACTTCCCCAAAGCCCAATCTACGCCTGGCACAGGCTTGGTGCTCAAGTATTTACCCAGCAAATAATTTATGAGAGCAAGTCCTAATGCCCAAAACAAAATACACTGGGAAGAGCTGTTTCTAATGTCCAGGGGCAGGAAAACCACTTGGCTGTTGTATAAATTTTGAGACACTGAGTAGGTAGCCTTGTCTTGAAGATTCCTTCTAGTTGTGACAATATGATTCAAATATAATATTCACTAGGAACCTTTTATGTGCTCTTCCTTGTAGGATATCAGAACGATAGAAGGAACTAGAAGCATAATCTCATAAAACTTACGTTTAGTTTTTCTGTTCTTTTAAGTGACCAATCCATACCCACCTGATGGAATTCCAAATTATTCTTTCTGTACCCTTTATCAGAAGGGACATAATTTCACGGCCCTAGCTTGTTCTTTTGCTCTTGTTTGCAGCATATTAACAGGCATTCAACAAATATGCACTGAGCCCTTGCTTGGGCCAGCAGCATGCTTGAGGCCCAGCCATGAACATGGGAGACACAGGTTTATAGTTTGGCAGTGGGGACATCAAACAAGCACATTATTGTAGCATAGTTTTGTTACATGTTATGCAGAAGCCTGAGGCTCTGTGAGAGTACAGTTACTTTAGACTCATGACCTGCTCTCTCAGATTCATGAAAAGGGGATTACGGATGGAGGCAGGATTAGTATCAGGACAGCTGCTCATAAAAGAGTGAGGTCATGGTGAATTTTTGGCTAAGTTGAGTTTTTGCGGCCTGGTGACTTTGTAAAACTTCTGCAAAGCTGCTGTTCTATCCAGCCCTGTCTTACATGTTTGTTTCTGTAGCACCATGGAGTTGATCCCTAGCTTGGGCTGGCTTTAGGTGAGGGTGTCTTGCTCTATACTCTGGTGACGACGTAGAGGAAATGCCAAATGTTTGCACACTATTCCAGAGCCATTACTTTCTGCTTCCCTTTCTGTCCCGGATTCCTGGGCTGGGTGGTTACAAAGGAGACCTTGAGGCCCCTTTAATGTCCTCTTTAGTCCTGTGACACATGCTATCAGTATTCAGCATCCAGCTGAGCCCACCTCAATTCC